ATATCGAAATGGGGTGCTGAAAATCTGGTTGAGTGCAATGCCAAGAAAACTCAGGTTTGCGTATTTACCGCCAAGACCCCTCCATTCCCTTCCCTTCCCTCTCTTCAGGGCACAACCTTGCCTCTACAGAGCAGCATTAACATGCTCGGGATGGAAGTGCGCTGTGATCTGAATCCCAAAAACCACATCGAGTCTGTTATTAAAACAGCATCACGTAAACTCGGTGTCCTGAACAAGGTGCGGCGTTTTTTCACGCCCGAACAACTGTGCCTGCTATACAAAAAGCAGGTCCGGTCATGTGTGGAGTATTGCTCGCACCTTTGGGATGGCTCCGCTAGGTACTTACTCGATGCTTTGGATAGATTGCAGCGCCGCGCAGTACGCATTATTGGCAATGGCGAAGTCACCAAGAACCTAGAAAGCCTGCAACTGCGCCAAGACGTTGCTTCGCTTAGCGTCTTCTACCGTCTCTACCATGGTGAATGCTCTGAAGAACTCTTTTCCCTTATCTCCCCATCTCCCTTCCTCCTCAGGACCACACGTGCTGGTTTGCGTTGCCACCAACTAACAGTGGCAACGATTCCTTCGCGTACAAAGAAATTTAGCGACTCATTTCTTTGTGGAACTTGCAAAAAATGGAATTGTCTCCCGGCCCATGTATTCCCTCCTTCCTATGACATGGGGTCCTTCAAGCGGGGCGTGAAGAAGCACCTTGCAGGTCGGCAAGGTGAGGTTGGCTAGTGCAGTACCTACGTACTGTTTTCACTAGCTGTCCTCGCGTTTGGACTGCGCCTCCGCTTACCATCAGGTGGAGCGCAGTCATTTGCCCTCCATTAAAAAAAAAAAATACATAAAAAAGGCTTTAATAAAACGCCGTCAATATTTCAGAATGTTGTTATATGCAAAATATTAGTAAACTATTCACGAGTAAATGGAAATTCACCAGAAACCATTATACAGCCGTATATTTAGTTAACTTTAAAAAAATATATCGTCAGGAGCTGTGACTATAAGTGAGCGAGGGCATTAGTCCTGCGGCCTCCATATAAATATTTATATGTACTTTACTACTCTGACGTATTCATAATAATTATTGCAAAAAAATACCATATTTAAGCTTGTAAAAAATAGAAAATCATAATTTTTTTTGGTTTTTTATTCATCAACGAATTGGCAAATGTATAATTCATGTACAATGTAAGGTCCTGGGTAGCTCAGTGGTTAGAGCAGACGCCTGGATTGCGAATGTACAAATACCCAATTACTTCATAATTGAATATTATTCGCTCCCGTTTCGCTGAAGTTTTATAACACATCTGAAGTTACTAACGGGAGCAAAAAATATCTAATTATGAAGAAATTGGGATTACGGGTACTATAATGGTGTTTAAGAATAACGTAATTAAAACTGAATGTGTGGGACAATAAAATACATTTATAAATTCATCTCAATTCCCTCCTTGTTCCATATAACATTGCATAATGAAGCCTGTCTGTATGTACCAGTTCGTTTCAATCTGTAATGTATCCTTGGTCTTTAGTTACACGATTTACAAGTACATAAAAATAAATCAAGGTACATTACTACACCACCCCAAAATTACGTTGGTCGCATTGAAAATCGGAAACGCCAGGTGTGTAAAAAGTTTGCGTTCCTTTTTAAAGAAATATATTTTCAAGTCATACGCTTCAGTGATTAAATTTGAAATTGTAAATGTATTTTAAATTTGGCTTCGATTTTGTTGACATTTAACGTGCAATTCTGTATTGTTAGATATAAAATATACATTTCAAACATCGGGTTGAATCAAATGCACTTAACGTTCAACAAAGTAAGTAAATATTTACTGAAGACGATGCCTCCTAAATAAAAGCCAATGTAGTTACGTGGACTGTAGTTCGTTATCGGCAATCTCGCTTATTATTAGTAATATCATATTTAACCATATCTCAAACGCCGAATCAATTCGAACTTCGCTACTGATTTACACATAATAAATAAGCTCAAACAACTGTCAAAGATTTGCTTATCTGAATAAATAGAATACAATAACCAAAACAAAATGATATATGTAATTTGTTCTTATTCCGAAAGAGAGATACACTAAAAACTGCACTACTGAAGTAGTAGAATAAGCGATAATTAAAAATTCGTTTTCGTACACTATTCGAAACTAAAATAAAACAATATCCTCGTCTTTTATAGACCGACATGGACTGTAATTAAAGATCCGTTATATTATTGTTTTTTACTTGACTCTAAATTGGTATGTTTTGAAATCTCAAGCATGTTTTCATTACGACTAACGTATATATCAAACTGCAGGTGATTTTGAAGTCTATCCTCAATTCTTTAAAGTTTTAAATAAAAAGGAAAAATTTGCAAGTTTTGTATAACCTGACGTGCTGTTGATTTAATCTCTATATTAGGCAAAATTGAGAAAACATTATTCCTTTTTTTATTATTATTATGAAGTAAATTAAATTATTTATGTAGTTAAATAAATAAAAAAAAAACGAGTACAAAAAGTAGAGGGCTTATTTATTTTCCAAATTTTATAAAGGGATGTATGAAAAAATATACATAATGCCATCCATGCAAATAGAAAGAGTTGAAAAGATTGATAGATAGATATTGCTTAATACATTTTAGATCTGGATTTTAACCTATGCTAAGGTTTATGACTTTAGTTTTCATATCAGTTTCTTCTTGGAAACTTCAATATTCCTATTATTTCTTTACACCATAGGCGTAGCAGGGATGGGGGGCGTTCCAACACTTGGAATACAACCTCCCTCATACATAAAATAACTTCATTAGAACCTAGGGAAAATCCCTAGTTACACCAATGCTATTAACCAGTTGTATTGATTTTATTATTACCTATATATATATATATATTAAATACCAATTTAATGTTACTTTGGTTAATTAAATCAGCCATATTGTAAATAAGTGATAAATAATCCAGTTTATGCAATAATCACGTCTTATTTTATTTAACGTTAAGGATGTTAATCGATGTGACATACATAACTGTTTAAATAATAACAATAATGTTCTTCTCAGTTAATATGGTCATATTCAACGTAATGTTACCTGTGTAATTGAATTGTAATAACGTGCACGTATTCGATTTACGAAATTAATACATAAGGTTTGCTTCTAAATGCGGCTATTTCCCGTGGCTCGGTCCCGGCGCGGTAGGTTTGTAATTACAAATTACAAGTTATCGGAGGTTGATGCACCGCACTCCCGTCGTCGGCAGTCGCGCGCGCTTCACCAATGCACACATTTGATGGCAGCAGGTTCAATAAACTGACGTTGCGACGGCACTGTGACGGTCGCTCGTTTACGTCATTATATGTAATGATGTTCTGAATTATTATAAAAAAAATGCGGTGGGCAAAAAGACCCTAATTATCTGCTTTATGATCTGATGTGAAGCCCTTTAGCGCATAACGTAGGGCTTTCTCGGAAAGATTTTGCGATAAGAATATTTCGGGACACTAAATAAGCAGGATAATGCATTTTTCACGGCGCATTGTATCGAGATTTTGATTTAAATGATTAAAACGCAAATGATGTAAGTCCTTTAAAACTTATCGATAGTCATATGCTTCTTTATCCTGAAGTGATATGAATTAGTAGGTTCGTTGTTAGTGCAATCCGTGCTGTATATTTTTAGATCACTCTATTAATACTAAACCGGCTAAGCAGGATCTACGTGTCGGTCATCATCCACCCATAGTGACCGTGGCATGTATCCCCATCGCTATTCATTACTGTCGAGCACATTCCGAATAATACTTTTAAATATTGAAAATCATTATTACGAAGTCCTATGCCAGAACTAATAATTGTACCGATCATTTCTGATGTCATAAGATCCAACATAAAATTCTAAAACATTAGAGGGTGTTATCCTAATTGTGCTATCTCTTAAAGATAAACACAACATGCATAAAATAACTTTCCAGTATCATTTAGGTTATTTAACACGAGTGAGCTTGCATTCTTGTGTTGTGTTCCTTGAGAACTTGATTTTATAACGGTATATGAAAATAAATTTCTTATGCATTGTTCATACTAATTATGGGAATTCGTAAGAGTCAAGGGCATTTTTGACGACTCTATGCTGCAGTATCTAAATCACATAATGAGTGATATCCTGGGTTACGCTCTTCATACACAGATAAACGTGATAATTAAAAGAGTTGATGTCATATAATACAAGTGCTTGATGTTTATGAAATCTATACTAATATTATAAAGCTGAAGAGTTTGTTTGTTTGAACGCGCTAATCTCAGCAACTACTGGTTCGAATTGAATAATTATTTTTGTGTTGAATAGACCATTTATCGAGGAAGGCTTTAGGCTATATAACATCACGCTGCAACTATTAGGAGCGAAGAAATAATGAAAATGGCGGATGAAGACGCTGGCGACCACTAGTCTTACAATATATGGTTACAAATACACAATTTGAGGTTTCTGAAACAATTTGTAAATTTATAATTTGAAATTTATGAAGTTGTAATAAGTTTGAAATGTAGGTTTCTGGCTTTCAAAATTTACCTCACAAAATAAGTTTTCAATAAGTATTAATTCTTCTATTTTTTGTGTGTGTGATATGCGTCACATTAGTTTGCAGACGAATCATCCGATTCGTTCAAACATTTGCTGATGAAATAAGCTACCGTCAGTTCGTAAGTTGGTGTGAGTACACCTTTAAAAATATAAAGTTTGCTGGAATTTTTACCTTTTATTATTTACAGAATATGTGGTTTGATTATGATGGGTTAATGAGATTTAATTAATTATTATTAAACTTCTGTATTTTATATAACTTGAAACGGTTAGATCGAGCAATTAATCAATTTCAAAGCTGTTTATTTTCGGAAAACGTCGAAGTGTCACAATAATTTTACCGTACTGAGTTGGGCATAACGCGGATAGGTGTTGAATTTTCTGATTTATTGTAAAATGTTTTCACAGGGGATAGTAGCGGCGAGCGTTCAGCGTGGTTAGATTGTGCGCTCGGTGTTTCTTTGCTGATGTTTGGAGCCCTAGTAGAGCGTTGCTGCGCTCTGCTACCGGAACCTGCGCTTACGCAACAACACACAGATGCACTGCTCCTCTTACCTGCAATTAAGGTATGATAAAATTTAAAAATTTTAATAATAGATACTAAAGACAATGTAGTGTCATCGTCAATGTTTTTTTTTTCAACCGATGCTGTTTTAGTGTTTTATTGCATCTACAATATAGTTACCGTAGGCAAGAATATTAATTACCATTATTGTAAATAAAAATTACGGGCAAGAGCGACTTTGCAAGCATCTTCTGTTCTATGGCGTTATAATCTTTTTCCGTATCTGCAACGTTATTTGCCAAATAATGGTGTAGACAAAGAAGAATAGATTCCATTCAAATGATTGTGTGTTACTCTTTGTTAGTTTATGCATGTTTGTAATTATTAAACCAATAGTATTTCTTAATTATTCGTGATATGTTATTCGTTATAATTACTACTTTGTAAAAAGCACATTACGCTATTAAATATAATAAAATAATATATTTAATATTATATCACAGGTGTGGTCCGACTGGATGTTATGTCACAGTAGTATATGGAATCCACCACCTTCATTCGACAATTTTGAAATAGAGTAAGTATACCTATACTTATGAAAGTTGGTGATAAAAATCATTGTATGTGTGTATGGATAGTATTATAAACTTTATTGTTTTCAGATCCGATAGCGATCCATGGGATTGGCTTGCGAAACTCATGAATATTATAGAAGCTCTGGATGACAAGAAGATTGAATTAGAAAATGAACCAAAAGAAGGTGAGTTATGCGACTTAATTAGTATAAAATAAACGTTATGGAACGTATGCTATATAAATGAGGAATAAATATGCTTAACAACGTTTGATAAATCATAGATAAATCGTTGTTATGTTTGCGGAATTATATGTTGTATATATGTGTCTATATTGAAATTAAATCTAAAATTTCATGTGCAAGACTAAAATGTTATTAGTGAAATTTTAACAATCAAATTAAAAACAGCAAGTAAAAAGTATGATCATAAAAGTATGTGTCAGAGACTGTGTTCAGCGTACACTGCGTTTTGTATTCTGAAGAGTTCGTATGTTAGTGGGCGACGGCTATTAATTTATAATGCAATCACGTTTCGCACTCATCTCGTTGTGGCGCCGTTATGCGGGTGCGCTGGGTAAGCTTTGAAGGCCGCGGTAGATCCACATATCGCTGACGTTAAATATACAATAATTTAAAAAAAAACTGGCTTACCACCGCTGGTCGGCGCGGATCAAATTTCATTGAACGTCTAAACCGATATAACATAAGACCATAATGTTAATGACCGGTAGAAACATATTTTCTCACGTCCACTTTTAGGTTTCGTTGCGTGCTGATATCAGTTTAAACACTTGAATATTTAAACGTATTTGGAAGCGTCAATGACAGTCATGGTAATCGAGTGTTTAAGACGCCGTATAAACCAAAACACTGTTTGTAAATTGAATGACAAATAACAATCAATAAATACACTGTTATAAGAAATGCGAAAACTATATTATACGTCCAAGTGAAATAAATAAAAAAAAAACATTATTGATTTTTATCTACAAATGTAACAAAGTTATCTAACAATATAACATTTTTTTGTTCATTCAGGAAGAATATTAAACAAGTATTTTTTTTTCGTTAATAAATTACGGTGATACATTAAGTTCAATATAGTCGCATGACGTCACACCTTTGTATAAAAGTTTACTCGATTTACTGTTAAATTGAAGCAAAATATTTATTTAATATTATCTGATGGATTAACTATTACAAATATTGTTGTTTATATTAAGGTACCGTCACATACCGAAACCCACTATTTTTGAAAGCTCTATTGAAATATGTATTAATTACATTCTTCCGCCCTTACTGATTAGTCGATGCAGGACTGTAATTGAGACGTATTCTAATTGGCTTTTTATAGTAAAAATATATAATCAAAATAAATGGGTCTTATAAGCGATAGTAACTTGTAATTAGATATCATTTCGGTTTATCTCTTATCAGAAATTCAGAATATTGTTTATCCTTAGGATACGTTGTCGTACGTTTGACGGAAGATGCGACGCTTGGCGGGTTTACACCGCTCATGTATATGGAGGCGGCGGTTTCGTGGGTCCGTAGTGAACCGCCCATGCCGCACCACGCTGCGGAACACGCTCTCCGCACCAGAAAACTGCTATTTTTCGGCACCGAGTGAGTGTTTGCTCAGTGAAAAACTAGTTTTCGATGATAATTGTTAAGCTAAAATACGTTGAATATGATAAACTTACTTATTTGCTTTGTTAATAAAATTTCACCTATCAGTTTTAAGGTTTATAATAATTTGTAGCTGATATGCCGTATGTTCAATTTTCATATGCGCATTCTTAACAAATTTGACCATGATCGTACTTACGATTAAAATTGATAATGAATCTTGTTGACTTGACCGACATTTCTGCATATATATCATTGAGTTTTTGGGAAAAGCAAATTGACAACAATACAGTACTGAGCATTAGTTGCACTAGCAACAAAGACGTTGAAATATGACGTCACACGATTTTCCGTCGTGGCCGCCCGCTTTTCGTTCTAGTAATATTTAAATTACTTCTTAATCTGGGAATTAAAATACTATATATTTATTGTTTACATATAAGTTACAATTTCTAACTTATATCATAATTAATTGTTATAACTGTCAAGTAGCCAAGTGTACTCAATAATAAAGTTCTTCAATGAATTTGATCTTAAGTTAAATATTATAATCTCTATTTTGTGCTGCTGTGTGTAAAGACTAGAGATCTATGTGTACAAATAAATGTCACTGTTTTGTTACGGGTGTGATGATGTGTCAACGTCACAGGTACCTGGTGGGTGTGGAGCCGCCGGTTCTGCGACTGGAGTACCCGGCGGGGGCGCCGCCACGATACGTGAGCGCCGTACAACGCGCTCAACCGCTGCATCAACCGCTACAACACTTGGTATGTACATAGCTTTAGCTTTTCGTCAACTGCTTCGCCCGCGTGGTATACGCGATGATTTGTCAGTACAGTTAAGTTGGGTTTAAAGTATCCTATGTGTTAATTTAGGCTTAGAATGCCAAATTTTATTAAAATCCGTTCAGTAGTTTTGGAGTGACAAATTAACAAACGTACACATACACACACACACTCACACATACACTCGCACACACACACATACACTCGCACACACACACTTCAGCAATTTGTAGGTATTATTAGTTATATATTTATTTGTTTGATTTATTTATTTGTTATATATGTTTTGATTTATTTGTTATATATGTCTGCGGGTAGTCCGAAGGGGCTATTAGGAAGCCCAAATAGATCGTCCATATCAGGGGACTATCTTTCAAATAACACTGCAGGCGTGTATAACCATTTTATCACTTTTCATACGAAAAGTGTGAAATTTCATACGAATATGAAAAATATAACGAGATGACCGTGATGTCGTCGGATGTCTTTACTCTTCGGCGATCGGAAACAGAATGTGTGCCAAAATGGAGACAAATTGCTTTTTGTTAACGAATGTCAAAGTCAAAGTCAATGGTGACACCATTCTAATAAAATTAAAAGTATCTATGATCACGCTCTCTCTTCAATCGAGTAATTAAGTAATCGAGTAACTAGCAATTAAAATAAAAGAAACTAAATCAAACGATCTTCGTAAAGATGATGCGACATATATGATAAATTTTGCATTCACAGTGCATCAATGTTATTTTTAAGAATATTTTTTTTTGGATTTATTTGTCTCTTACAGTTACTCTTTTATTGTAAAGGAACTTTTTCATACATCATGTCATACTATGAGAGTTTTAAACACGAAACAAACAATATTTGAAGTTTGAAACAACCTTAGTGCGAACCGATGGCGTAGTTTTCGACTTTCACAAGTGCTCTGTAAAAGCCTAAACTGAATAAATAAATTTTGATTTGATTTCATTTGATTTGGTTTAGTTGTTACTATCACATTCAGACCCGATAAGAATAGAACCTGATTACTTAGAGGTGGCGACACTTTGAAATCGGCGTTCAAGGCACATGGCATTAGAGATCATTAAAATATACATGTGTCTGCTATACCGGATAACAGCGTGTTATGCCCGTATAACACGCAACTCTGCTAACTAGACCGTTCCGTCATCGATCAACATCGGAACGTGCCATAGACAGAGCATTCTGTGCTTGTTTGTGATTGGCGTTTCTTCGCAATATAAGTACTCATAGTTTTGTTTTTGTATTGGGATCATCTTGTGATATGATGTAGTGGGTAAATAGCTTAAATATTTGTCGGCGTGGTCGATTCATTAAGTGCGAATTGTTCTGCAATAAACGTTACCCACATCTATGCTATTTTTGTAATGTTTGGAAATACATATCTGATCGTGACAATTCTTTCACCTATACGGCAACAGCATCATACGCGGCACGGGTGACATAGTCTATAATTTACACGGGCGAAGTCGCGGTATAGCTTGTTTAGTTATATTTTGGAAAAAAAAACTATATTTTGCATAGTTTTACCAAAATAATATTCCCAGTCGTAAAAAGTTTCATTTCATAAGGTGTTGCTCAAAAGCCGCTCTTACAAAGTGTCTCCTTACATATATCATCTTCACCAGCCCTTTTACGTCCCCACTGTAGGGGCACAGGCCTTCCTTATGGATGGTTAAGGAGGATGGGCCATGACCCACCACGCGGGCCCAATGCGGATTGGAGGGTATTAACGACTGCAAATGCAGCCGGGACCAACGGCTTAACAAAGCGTGCCTTCCGAAGCACGGAGTAGCTCCAGATAATAATTTTTTGGTCACCCATCCCGTGACCGACCCTTGCGAAAGTTGCTTAACGACTACAATCGCGGGCCGCGGCGCTTATTCACTACGCCACCGAGCTACTCCCTTACATATATATGTAACATTATAGCAGATAAGCAGATAAGAATCCTTGGACATAGGTTGTTCCAAATCCTGTTATAGGGGATTTCTACACTATTTTTTAAATTATTATAGATTCATTGATATAATGACTTAGTGTTTTGTTTTGTTATTGTTTATTAAATTTGGTGATAATTTCTATAATTTATCCCGATAACTAAAAGGTCCAATTGCGCGGTAGAAAAATATTCAAAGGACTGATATTAATGGTATTGAGTTCGACTCTCAGTCGTATCCAAACTAGGACAAATTTTATTTAACCAAGAATTTGACAAACGGACCCTTATCGTATAAAATATGTTTTTATTACAATTTGATACATTTATAAAAAAAGCTTTTTCTTTAAATAAATTGAATATAAAGGAATTCTTCTGTCGCCGTGTTATGTCGCCGTGAATAATATATGTAACCTATCTGAAAAGATAAATTGTAGTGTGTACAGCTCCAGCCTCATTATAAATAATGTGTTTAGTATAATAAAGTCAGTCAAAACGCAACATTTGTCTAATTCACACGTACTCCCAGGTCCCCACATTGCATGGCGACCCTGGTCCCCACATTGCAAAATAATTTGCAACTAAAATTAACAACACTAATCGTTTCTAGTTGCAACTCGCGTGAAACTAGTTAAACGGGTATGGCGCCGGCGCTTAGAGGCGATCCTCTTTCATCTCTTTAAATGCTAAAATAGTTCCTGTTACTTTACATTACATGTGTTACATTAGCTGAAAAATGAGTACTTTGCTAATTTATATGTTTTACCTAAGTATTGCGTTTGCATATATTACTAAAATTTTATTTTGTTGGAATATCAAAATAAATGGTAAAAAACACAAGCAAGTATTAGGTTTTTGAGATGCTAATGTAAAAAGGTAATAATATTTCGATCAAATTACACGTCAAAATGTTTTGTTAGAACCTTTGATTTGTCAGACTAAATAGGTTTTAGGTATATTAACCGACAAAAAATGGAGATTCGCACTTTAACACGCGTTGTATGTATTGTCCGCGGTTTTCAGAAAAGTACGAGTATTTTTAGTGTTACCTATTATATAAAAATGTCAATATCACTAAAAAATCAATAAAAACTTAACAAAATAGTAACACCTTCTCAATTAAAAAAAGTGTATAATAAAACACTTATCTCAAACAATGACTTATTCAAGAAAATGCTATTGAAGTCTGGCTCCTTTCATTTAATTAATAATCTACCGAAAACCTCCGCCTGCTTTAATATCATTTTCTTGAGTTTGAAGTCGGTTCTATTTTTTAGTTTTTATTTGTTTTTTTTTTTAGTTTTACGATTATGTTTATAAGTTTTCAGTGTTATTGAAACTTTGTTAAATGAATAAATAAATAAATATGCCATAAAGTAATTTACTGTTTGGTAAAATAAGAAGCTGTGTTTATGAGACGTAACGTCATCAACGGTTTTTTGGCAAAATGTATTTGCGAATAATTTATCGATTGTATTGTTTACGTTAAGTGGACGAGTACACCAAAATTTACACTTTATCTTTTTACAAAGAAATAATGTTTTAATAACCAAGAATGAGAAAATAACGTAATAAAAATTGGCACTGCTTTCAGTGCGCCAATTTTCTCTTTAGCCCAAATAAATATAAATGAATATCATTTCTCTATATAAAGAAAAATACAAAGTTATATATCTAAAACTTACCATTTCTTTTTTTTCGTCAAACACTTTTATCGTTATCAAATAGAATATATATATGTGAGTCGCTTAGTATGCGAGCGCTTTAATTAAACTCGTAATATTTTGCAAGTAATTAAAAATAGTTTTTGACGTGCAACTCGCTATTCTCATTGCCGGGCCTAATGAAATAAATAGGGTGTCTTGTTTCGTTATGTCCAACCCTAATAAAAAGCATAAACTGGGTTATTTGAATTTTATGTTAGAATGAGTTTTACATTGTAATTTTATGTCTTTACTGTAAAACGGCTAAGTAACCATCTTGCTATAGTCGTTAGATACAATTCACATTCGATTTAAAACGAAGAGACCACCCAAGTAATGCATAGTTAAGTTAGCTAATTACCTACTGCGCAGATGTAAACAGCTCATGAATTAGATATTTATTCGTATTATTATTTCTTGCATTAGGATAGTATTGTTTGATTGGTTTAGAAATAAGCACAGCAGAGCGATTCTTTAAAAATCCAAAACCGAATTTGAATTCACTTAGGCGCCCGAATTCACTTCGAAAGCGACATCCGCTTAATCTTGGTACTAACGGTTCGTGGCGTAAGTGAAGTGAGTTCGAAATGACATAGAATATCTGAGACACGTATGAATCAATCAATCTTGTTTTGTATTTTTATACAAAAATGGAATCAATATAATTTCTACACTCTAATATAAGTTAGGCGGATTCGCTTATGAAGTGAATTCCACCTGTGAGAATTTAAACTCGGGTTCGGATTTTTTAACCATGTCTACCAATAAGATACAGGGTCCTGATCGGAAATGTAATTATACAATCTTGTTACAGTCTGAAGACTCAGAGGATGAAGATAATGCCAGTGGAACTGCTAGTGGTCCGACCAGTCTGTGCGAGAGTCTGGAGTCAGGTCCAGAAGGTACGGATGAAGCAACTAGAAAGCTACTGAGGCGAAAAGAACAACTTGAGTCGAGGAAGGCTACTTTGGAGCGGCGTCGGCAACGTATGCAGGTACGTCGGCAATTTTTTTTGCTCAAAATTATTATTACTATAGAACTATAGAAAATGATTACTATGTGACTATAGAAGTACTGTTTACAGATTGTGGGCGGCTAGCCCTTCAATGAAATTGAATGACGCCGTTCAATTAAAGGGCTAGCCGCCCAATTGGTTGGCTGATTATATCATTTGGCTGCGACATATACGTAACCTGGCGACATTGGCTTTGTGTCACAGTTTGTATATAGAGATGTGATATTAACAACACATATATTTGTTTGAAGCTTTTTATGGAGGGGGGGGGGGAAGCTATATGTTATATTATAAAAGGGTGAGCTCACAGCTTCCTAGACTGGGCTTTAGCTACGCCTATGCTTTTCTAAAAGAAGTAATAGAGTAAAAAAATATAATAGGGAGTATTAATAACAAATCATGAAATAGTTTACATTTCTAATCATCTGATCAATCGGACATAATAATGTCATAAGTAAAACTCATCTTGTTGCCACAAACATCACGTGTACGTTTATATTTTTTATTACACATTATATTAAAAAAAACCCCTTAACTTTTTTTATCTGGCTAATTATTTATCATCAAACAGGTATACATAAATAGACATTGATACGAGAGTTCCGCTAATTTGGTGTTATTAATGCCACTCGCATTAAGCGCGCGTCGGAGCGTTAAATGATATTCATGTTTGCATTTCACACGCGTCGCCCGCGCTCGATAACCAATGGATGGCTCACTTATGCTACCATTTTAAAACATTATCATTTGTACCATGAATATTGATGCGATTATCTCATAATTTACACCTATCTGTGATTGGAACTGATTATTTGTTGCGATTTTATAGCATAAATTAATAGACATTGTCGATTCCACGTTTTATTTAATAGGAAATCTGTCTAGTATTGTTTTTTATTAATGTGAATACACTACACTGTCATCACTGTCAATACACTATAGTAAATTTATTGAATATTAAAACAATGTATAAAATAAACAGCATGCAGTTTTTATAGACAACCTGTACGTTAAACCTGTTTTTCTTCATAGTCTGAAAGTCATATAATTTATTTCTTATTGTATAACAATGGATGCTGTGAAAACCGGCTCAGAAATAAATAAAGTGTCAAGTGCAATAATAACATCAATTTTTGAATGAAATGAGAAAATAAACAAAATTAACACACACACACACACACACACACACACACACACACACACACACACACACACACACACACACACACACACACACACACACACACACACACACACACACACACACACACACACACACACACACACACACACACACACACACACACACACACACACACACACACACACACACACACACACACACACACACACACACACACACACACACACACACACACACACACACACACACACACACACACACACACACACACACACACACACACACACACACACACACACACACACACACACACACACACACACACACACACACACACACACACACACACACACACACACACACACACACACACACACACACACACACACACACACACACACACACACACACACACACACACACACACACACACACACACACACACACACACACACACACACACACACACACACACACACACACACACACACACACACACACACACACACACACACACACACACACACACACACACACACACACACACACACACACACACACACACACACACACACACACACACACACACACACACACACACACACACACACACACACACACACACACACACACACACACACACACACACACACACACACACACACACACACACACACACACACACACACACACACACACACACACACACACACACACACACACACACACACACACACACACACACACACACACACACACACACACACACACACACACACACACACACACACACACACACACACACACACACACACACACACACACACACACACACACACACACACACACACACACACACACACACACACACACACACACACACACACACACACACACACACACACACACACACACACACACACACACACACACACACACACACACACACACACACACACACACACACACACACACACACACACACACACACACACACACACACACACACACACACACACACACACACACACACACACACACACACACACACACACACACACACACACACACACACACACACACACACACACACACACACACACACACACACACACACACACACACACACACACACACACACACACACACACACACACACACACACACACACACACACACACACACACACACACACACACACACACACACACACACACACACACACACACACACACACACACACACACACACACACACACACACACACACACACACACACACACACACACACACACACACACACACACACACACACACACACACACACACACACACACACACACACACACACACACACACACACACACACACACACACACACACACACACACACACACACACACACACACACACACACACACACACACACACACACACACACCACACACACACACACACACACACACACACACACACACACACACACACACACACACACACACACACACACACACACACACACACACACACACACACACACACACACACACACACACACACACACACACACACACACACACACACACACACACACACACACACACACACACACACACACACACACACACACACACACACACACACACACACACACACACACACACACACACACACACACACACACACACACACACACACACACACACACACACACACACACACACACACACACACACACACACACACACACACACACACACACACACACACACACACACACACACACACACACACACACACACACACACACACACACACACACACACACACACACACACACACACACACACACACACACACACACACACACACACACACACACACACACACACACACACACACACACACACACACACACACACACACACACACACACACACACACACACACACACACACACACACACACACACACACACACACACACACACACACACACACACACACACACACACACACACACACACACACACACACACACACACACACACACACACACACACACACACACACACACACACACACACACACACACACACACACACACACACACACACACACACACACACACACACACACACACACACACACACACACACACACACACACACACACACACACACACACAACACACACACACACACACACACACACACACACACACACACACACACACACACACACACACACACACACACACACACACACACACACACACACACACACACACACACACACACACACACACACACACACACACACACACACACACACACACACACACACACACACACACACACACACACACACACACACACACACACACACACACACACACACACACACACACACACACACACACACACACACACACACACACACACACACACACACACACACACACACACATTCGCAGACATTTATAATATTAGTATGGATATTGTATTTGTTGATCAGGAGATATTACGCGGCGGGTGGGTTAGCGTCGAGGTGGAGGTGAGGCCGAGGTGGCTCGTTCCAGACACCAATTGCTTCATCGATCATCTCGCGCTACTGCAGGCCGTCGCGTCTGCGCCCGCGCAGCCTTACACGCTCGCGGTGCCTCTTGTCGGTGAGTTATGATAATAATTAACATTTCACATAAACCGCTCCTTCATTGATTGTCTCCATAAGTAAGCCGTAATTGGATAGCTTACAATATGAAATATATGTGTGTAATATAATTGATGTAAAGTAACTTATAATTTAAATGTGCTCGAGAATAAAATCTCTTGTTGGAAAACAATAGGCTTACTTAAAGGCAACATATATCGATACAAAGGAAATTATTGGTTTATTTTGAAATGAATCTCTCCATAACTCCTGTTGACTGAGTGAGAATTCCTTAAGGCATACTTAATCCCTTTGGCATTTGTATTTTTTTTTTGTTTCTGCAATAAAGCATTAATAGATAGATGTTGCATTGGCGTATAATTTGTTTTTTTTTCAATTGTATTCCAAGAAATATAAGAATTTCCCTTACTTCGAATTTGCGATGTATTTGTAAACTAAGTAGTTAAATCCAAATCAGAGACAATATAAAAAAAAATATCATTTTCTGTATTGATCTTCCCGGGAATCGAACAAGAGAACTCAAAGATGGTGACAACTTAAAATCACATGTCACAAAGTTCGTTAGGAAATAACAATTGCAGTCCAAGAAAAGACGAGAAAGAGGGGGGTGGAAGAGAGAGAGAGAGAGAGAGAAAGAAAGAGAAGAGGAAGAGGGGAGAACTCGAGCCACTTTCTGTTTTGTTGTAGTGATGACAGAGCTGGAGGGTCTCAAGAAGTGTTCCCGACTGGGCGTCAGCGCTGCCGCGGCATTGTCGTGGGTGTTGAGCGGCGCTAGCGGCAGTGTTCGTCTCGCGACTGCTCGCGGCTCGCTGCTAGCGTCGCGCGCGTTCACCGCCGAACGTGATATGCCGCGCGCCTCCAATGATGATCGCGTGCTCGCCACTGCACTGAGCTTGCACGAAAATCTGGCCTCCGAACCCGGTGAGTTTACATTTTTTAAAGATTAATTACAGCTGCGTTTCGAGTCTGTATGAAATAAAAAAATAATAGTTTCTTGAATTATGCATAGTAATGAGAAAGACTTTAAAGAACGATTTTACCTATGATTTTTTTGAGACATAACAGTCATTACTTTATATAATACTTAAATCATTACAATATTTATTAGACAATGTGTGTCCACTATTTCTATATAGGTGGATAACAAATAAATAACTGTTGTCTGACGAACACTAGTTAAGGATCAATTAACTTAACTATGTGTAAAAAAATGTATTTGATTTATATTGCATTTATCTGCACAAATAGTAGGTTTCGTTATGAATCGCCAATATACATATTGAGAATAGTACAGGCCCCAAGTGTGACTCTTGAGGTACTCCAGATGACAACGGCAAGAAATTCGAAACTTTTAATGCAAACAGCCTGGCTGCGGTTTCGGATGTAGGACTCAAACCATCGTTTTGCTTATTTTTGGAAATAGGCGTAAAAAGGGCTCTCTTCCAAACAAGGGAAAATACCAGAATTCAGAGACTATTACAAGATTTTGTAAATCGGTTTTAATAATTGGTTTAGAATGTTAATATTTTTTAAGGGTTCAAATACCACTTTTTCAAATTTTGTATTATATTACGACACAATTACCTACCTCGATAAAAAGATGCAGTAAGAAGTTTCCAATACAAAATAAAATACATATTGATTTGATAAAAAATCGGTTCATACTTGATGACTTACATTGTGCACCTTTGCATTGAAGTGATCACTAGTTTATGTCGTTTAAATATGAAATTTTGGTTTTATTTTGTTCTAAACACGTTATACGATTACAGAGGCGCGTGCGGAGAATACCGATCCATCGAATTGCGTACGACGCCGTCGTGAAGTGGTACTTCTCACGGATGATAGAAACTTGAGGGTGAAGGCTCTAGCGGCGGAGATGCCCGCTCGCGATCTATCCTCCTTCGTTCATTGGGCTGGCATCACTCTCGAAACAGATACGGTGAGTATACATCGAGATAAATAATGGATATCGGCTAATTTTGTATTTTTGAAGATTATTGATATATCAGTATAATGATACAGAACTGTAGGCCAATTGCACTAATGTTAATGTTTTACGTAGTAGACGTTCTATTGAGAGACTCAACATGCATTTTGTCATTGTACATCTTTATTGTCAAAGCAGTAAACGCCATAACATATAAGGTCTAGACGTCATATATCTTCGGACATATCTTTTAATCACTTTACATATTATTAAGAACAATATTCTTTAGTTCAAAGTTTTTATTTGTTTCAGAATGCGACACAGCCGTCGGCAACAGATGACAAAAGCTGTCATAATTGAGTATATGTACTCACTAATTCAAACATTTATTTAATAATATGTTGATGTCAATGCATGGCGACTTAATTTAACGGGCGAGATAGTTATTATAAATTTTACGAATAATGCTGACAAATATAGCGGCCCGCAATGCAATGCCCCGCGATTGTGCGGCAATTTAGTATAGGAATTGAGTAGATTAAGTGAAATTAACACACCAATTGAAGGTTTAAATGTTAATACATTTTGTTAAGAGCCCTTTAGGTTTTAACATTCGTGTTGCCCGGGCTGCGTTTTACTCTGTTATTTTTACGTATTTTCGGTTATATTTTTCAAGGTATTAGATAAATCGTAAATTTAGTGTTGCTGAGATATTATTTTATATTTACATTTTTTTTACAAATTAAGTATATTTTTTTATTATTTTGTAGCTAGGTAATAGTAACAAAATATACTTTACGACTTATCGTAACGTCAAAGTCCGGCTTGCGTAGTGTCTTTTTCACATAGGCTATTGACTAATATTCATACAGAATAAAATCGACTGCACTTTTTATGAAAATGTAATGATTTATCTATGAACTTTCTATATACATTTTAGATGCTAATTTTCGTGAAAAATAATCGTTTAGTGTTGCAGTAAAGTGTCTTGTGCCATTCGCCTCCATTTTAAATTTAGCGTGGTTTCAATGCAATGCTTAGTATAAGAATATTAACTATACAAATAATCGGCGAATTTATAAAATGGTGGTCAATCAGTACATATGCAACTCCCTTTGTAGCCATATTAGATTGGGAAGTAGATGCATATAAAAGTTTTTGACATTGTAAGGACACATCATTTTTTAAATAAAAGTTTATAGAAAACTCACTTTTACTGGTGAATTTCTAGATTAAATAACATTAATAGTATAACATCTTTTTGTTATTATTGATGCAAAGAAATCAATTATAGTTTTTGTATCACATAACAATACGATTTGTATAGTTTTACTAAATTATAAATTGGTTTCGTTAGCAGTGTGTTATCGCTTAAAATAGAAATATTACACAATATAAATATTATATACCAGAGTATTTCTGAATTTTAGTACAATCAGAGTTAATCTAATAATTATTCGTTCACTATAGACTCGATAAGTACAGAAAGCTATGAAATTATATATGTAATTTGACCTACTTGTGTTCACAAATCATTATGTAATGCGTACGTCTGAAACAAGTTATTTACTTTCTAGATACATAAACCATGTTATATAGAAAATAATGAAATAAATATTGACTCCTTAATTAATATGATTACTGTAACGAGTTTTTATTTCTCTTTTATTTTAAACGAATTTGATGCTGTTACTTTTCTCTTTAATCATGACGTTTTAATAAACATTGAATTATTCAATATGTATATTTTTTATTTACTTCATTACCCCAAACATCGAATTTGCGGTAAGTTCACAATTGTTACATACAAGTAAACAGAGTTACCTAATCAAAATTTAATAATGTTTGTATGCGTTAACAGATACGAAGGTTATATCGGCCTTGTGTTGAATAAAAACCGTTGAAATGATTACCATTATCGGATATCGTTACCGAGAATCGTATACTAAAGGATTATCATTTAAAATGGCAATGAAGTAAAGGTTGGATGACTTTTAAGAAATTCAATTTCTTAAGTTTGAAAGCAAACTTATTTTATTTCAATAAGTAAATCTCATATGGATAGAAAATCTGTTAACGGTCGATCAAGTGAGAAATTCCGATGTTAAGAGTTAAGCAATGGGAATTGGCAAAGGTGCACGGCGCATTGGTTTGCTGCGAGGCTGTAAAGGTACCGTTATACTTATTTGCCGTGCAGCGCATCTCGCTTTAGGCGCTACGTTGACTTATTTACCAATACACCTTTGCGAGCTGCACGCGCTAAGCTCAACCTGTAATGGAGATAGCGAAGACATCTTAACAATATGATTAATTTTATATTATTATCAAGTATAAACAAACAATATTTTATTGTGATTTTATGAATGATAGACGGCATATTCTAAAAATGCTCATATCTCATTTTCACTGACTTTTTTGAGGTAAGTTCCGTTTATTAATCCACCCATCTTATTATTTAATGAAATATAAATAAATGAAAAATCAAATTTTAAACTTTCGTAAGTGACACATATTCCAAGTTGATTTTGTAGTGAAAAAAATATATAAATGTTGGATTTTGAAGTCTGTTCAAAAAATTGATGTTGCTCGTGTTATTAGATGGAGCTGCTATCATCTTGCCAATCGTAAAAGTCGAATGGCTTGTATGTTAGTACCTTTGTGTAGGAATGAATTATATCGAACGTAATAATAAATATAACGTTGAATGATGACCAACAGGTAATAGCAACGAGGATATTTCATTATTTTTGCTGAGAAATTTATGGCAAAGCAGCATGTGTTATTAGTGTTCTCTATGGGTATAGTATAAACCCTAAAATTTAGGGATTATAATATAAATCGGAAAACTTTAGGTAAGTACCGTAATAAAATGAAGAAGAATGAAAGATAAAACCGATATGGTGTAATCAATTAATTCCTTCTAATTTTTAGGGTCATCAAAACACACAATTCTTTATTTTAAATTATAATGTATACCACAGCTTATTAGTTCCGGCCAGTATATCTAAGAGTCAATTGTAATAATTTATGACTCCTAGTACAACTTGCTTTTTATCTTATCGCTAAAAAAGGAAGTCATATCAGAAATACAAATGTTACTATTGAATTTTTACTGTATTAAACTTATTTGAGATTACTATTATTGAAATAAAATTTCTAACTTTGTTTTTAATGAACAATGCTTCAAAAATCTACTTAGTCCCTGGCAACCTGAGATGGGATCCGAACCCATGACCTTTCGCAATTCGGGCGACTGCTCCAACCATTGAGCAGTCGCCCGGATTGCGATAGGTTATGGACCCAACAGGACCGACGAATCTTTCAAGCACCTTACTTTTTCGCTACTACAGAGCGTATTCTCATCAATGTTCAGGCAATCCACGCAAACAGCCGAAAGAAATGTTTTTACCAATATTTAAACTTTCGATAAAGATGAAAATTTCTTCTAATTATTAGATTTGATCAATTTCTCAATCACAATGCTATACTGAAAAATATTCTTAATGAAAAAATCCGATCATGAAAGATTTTTCATCCACTGGAAGCTACGTCATACGTGCATGGTACAGGCTATGATTTACGCGGGCGAAGTCGCGGGAAACAGCTACTATTTTATAAAGAATACGAATCGACTTTGTGTTAAGGTTTGTACGTTTATGTTTCAAAATATTTTGGTTTTTTTTTTGTAATATTATGCACGTTCACACTATTTCTCGTTTTTAATAAAATATGGACTAGATGAGATTTCTAAATAACGCCCGCATCCGTCCGCAAACTCGAGTTAACGAACGACCTAAACATTGTCTAAGTCCGGACACCGACATAGGGACTTAAACATAAATCTGTTGATGACCAATCAGGAAATTCGAAGTAACTCCGAGTTGAAATAAGTACCTATAAGGTGCGCACTCTAAGACTGTGGCGTAGGGTAATTGGTGCTTAAGGAAAAGTTGTTGTCAGTCCAGGCCACGAAGGAATGCTGTCTGGCTCACTAGCTGCCTTCTTAGCAATATAAAGTAATTGATAGTAACATCTACTTAGAATATTTTATAACAAATGCTTGTCTACGCGTTGTCAGAACACTATCAAAATAATATTTAAAATCATAACAGCGGTTTTCTTAAAAATAAGATGCAAGTACCTGAAGTCATTATTGGATACGTGAGATATAGTTACTTCTTACGTTTCGAGAATATTTAATCAAAATTATATACTGTTTAGATATACTTAGTTAAGCTGACTTTGAATAGAGGAAGCGACAGAAATAATCGTGACATTGTAAATCCTTGGTCTCAACTTAGAAAATAATATACCTAGTAATAGCAGATAAAGTATACATATGTATAGTGCATGTTTATTAAAAGAAGTTTATATTTTTTATTTATAATGAATAAACCCAAAAAATACAAGGGTAATTATAGAAATTGTTTCACCAGTTGTACATTCTACAGTAGCTTATTGTTTTTTAATTCCAAAATTTCCACTTTAAAATCGCTGCAACGGTTTGACGCACTAGAGCCATAGAACTATTTTTATAAGAACGTTTATATAGATGAACTTATTCATTAATAAAAACCTTTGTTTATATTCTTTTGTCCATGCAATTCATCCTGATCGAAACACTAAAATTTAAGGAGAAATCCCTACATTTGATAGTTGCTGTAGTTTGTTAAGGCTATAAGTAAAATTAAGAGTGAATGTGATACTATCGAAGGGTTTTATTGCACTAAAATGTTACGAATGTAATTCGCGGTGTCGTTCACTACAACTGTATGATTAGTGAGAAGGTAGAACGCCACAAAATAACAAATTATGGACCATATACTCGACGCTAGTAGCCGAGTCAATCCAGTAAGCCAGGCCAGTATGAAATAGAGATATTGAGGAATATAGCCAGTCAATGAAATAGAATGGTTTCTTATTTTACTAGACTGTAAATAGTCCGTTACACGTTGGTATAAATTATACATATAGGTAATGATAATCAATCGCTTCTACTGTCAAAAATCTAAAAGATAAAAGCTTCCATAAAATGATAAGGTAATTTTAAACAAATTAAGACAAACATCGTTAGTAAACTAAGTATAATAAACTTTAGAAGGACTTGGATAAGACGGTTTTAACCAATAACACTAATCAATAACTCTTAAGTGAAAATTAATGCCATTGCTAATGATGGATGTTTGGTATAATAGAATTATATGAAAATTTGTAAATTACCATAATACGTTTCAGGTATTGTGACTATAAATAAATTAATAATTCAAAGTGTATGTTATTTTAGTGAGAATCGCACTGAAGGTATTGATATAACCGTTTTACATTACAATAAAACAGTTATTTATTATGAACAGAGATAA